AAATTTTGAAGAAAATAAGGAAGACAGACATAGGTACGATCTAAGCCAGGAGGATCACATTATCTAGTGGTATATTTAGGTCTGTGTCCAAGTAATTCCACTAACAGAAAACATAAAAGTATACCTTCCAGTACCACAATATTTGCTAAAGCACTCTGCATTTATATTCAAATATTTCTATAGATAAACACAATGCTTCATACCTTTTTCATTTCATTTTCTAAATTTTCTTCCTCTTGGCCTTCAGACAGCATTCGTCTCAAATCAGCTATTTCTCTTTCCGAAGATTCTCGATATTGTGCCCACTGTGTTCGCTCCTGCTCCAGCCTGAGGTGAAACTGGTGCTCATAGTCACGAACTGTTTCTACAAAACATCACCATGTATTTCATGTGTCAGCATTAAGAAATAAAAATGTCTGGCACATTAATATTTTTAAAGTTATACAAAGAGCTTATGCCTAATTTCTGGAAAACCTAATTCACTAAAAAAAAGAATAAAAGAAACAACTCTTAGCAACACTTACCATGTGCACTATAAGGGATTTACTAAATCACCATCTCTAATATTCACAATAAACTGGTACCATATTACTATTTTACAGTGGGAAACCTTAGGAAGGGGTAAATAGTCTGGCCAATGTTTTATAATCAGAAAGAAGCAGAGCTTGAACTCAAGCTTAAGGCCAACTGCAAAATCTGTTTTTAGACACTACACTATGGCTGCAAGATAAATACATGTCACCCTACCCTACTACCTGAAAGTGAGATGAAAAGGATGTATTTCTGGAATATTTTACTATAACCCAAGATTCTAAATTGAGACAAATTTTATAAAGTCTTTATAAAATGGTCTGATCTTTAATATAATCTTAAAATATGTGACAGCTACTGCTGGTTGCTGGATAACTTCCACTGTTCCTTCTTTACTAAAAAAACCCCAATTTTGTTTAGGAAGTCAACATGCCCAACTTAGGATAGGAGAAAAAAATGGCACAGCAGTGAATGGCAACAATTTCCCCAAGATGAAGTGTCTAGAATCTAGAAAATAGCAGCTTGGCGAGAAACAAAGTGAGAGGAGATTACACGGGAACCAGGAAAAAACTGACAAAGGAGAAGAATAAAGTATTAAGTGATACAGAAGAAACAAGTCATATCACAGAGGAAAAAAAGACACCCACCACAGACCCTGCTGCCACAGGCAGTAGGTGGCCAGCCAGTGAGTGACAAAGTGAAACCAAAAACTGAGCTCACAGAGAACCAGAGAACCACACTGGGACCAAGATAATAAGCTGCAGTTGGAATCAACAAAGAAAACACAGGACACTGCTTCCAGAGTGGCCTTCCAGTCAACAACTGATGAGTGACCTCAACACAGCACCCACAGCCACAATCAAAGGACAAGAGCTGGCAGGGACACCATTGTAGAGAAGGGCTGAGCATGTGAACCTGGGTCCCAGAGCAGCCCTTGGCTCCAAGCTACACTCCACACTGTCAAGTTTTCAAGTGATGAGGGAAGGACAACCACAGGACACAGACTGGTGGATGGAGAGCAAGCTGCAGGGAGTCCCACTGGGGAGTGGGGCTGGTGAACATGGACCTGGCTCCTGCAGTCAGAGGCCAGGTTCAACCTGAGTTACACAGGACTGGAAGCCCACATTGGCACCCTCTTCCTACTTTATCCAGAAGTCTGCACCCAGCACCATTCTGGGGGCAGACTGCCACCTTAGTCTTCCAGTGGAAACAAAGACACACCCTGGCTTGAGCTCCGCTCATTAATCCTACGCTGAGGAAAAGAGTCACATGTCCAAACAATAGAAAGCTTTCTTATATTATTATTTTATTGTGTTCTTTTTTTTTCCTTTTGATGTTTTCCTCCTCCTGTTCATTCCCCTCACTATTTTTATTCTATTACCCCCTTTTTCTTTTATGAGCATGTCTTTATGTGTGTATGTACTTCTCTTCTTGCCTTTTTCTTCCAATATAGTTTCTAGAGGGTAAAGGAATTCTCCCTTGATCCCCTATATCCTTCTACTTTTATCCATATCTTTTTGTCTGACTTCTTTCTCCTGGTTCTTATTCTTTCTCAATTTTTCTTTTCTTTCTTCTACCCCTTTCCATTTGTCTCCCCTTAACATTTTCTCTAAAATTTATCAGTCATAGAATCTCTCCCCATACCCATTTCGCACTATCAATTCTGTACCCAGCTTTCCCTCTTATTCTCACTTAAATATATAGCATAAATTTATCATCATTAAGATCCTTTGCCCCTTTCCTATTTCCTCCTTCCTATACCACAAAACAGAAGACTTTAAAATTTAAAAAAAAACTTTTTCTTTCTTCTCTTTCCCACCTGGCATTACTGGGTCCCCAACCCCCTGGGCCTTAGATAATTGATTCTATAAAATCAGCATTGACTGCTGTTTTTCACCATAGAGGAAACACAGGCAACACATTTAGTGCATATGAACTGTGGGTCAATACTTGGGCTGTTATGATGTTCATATTGTAATTGTGGATTTCTTCTCTAGGCTAAAGGGAGAGCCAAAACAGGGTCTCATGGTACGTTATTTCTCAACTAACCCTAATAGATACCACTGTAACAGATTAGTCTGTTATTACTGTAGCTGATTTGATTGCATAGGAATAATCTTGACTCAGTGGACAATTTTGTGCCAGTAAATCTGTCTGCTGATTCCACCATCACACCCAGGGAGAGGGACAGCAAGAGTTCCTAACCTAAGAACCTGGACTAGATCAGACTCTCTAAGGGGGGGAATGAAGTCCTGAGTATGAGTCAGCTTCAGCATTACAGTGGAAAGATCAGATGAGTTATTAGGGTGTGAGCACTCAGACTCTGACAAAGAAGCTACTTGGGAATCACATACGCAATGTCTCATTAGAATATTTAATCTGTGTTCCCGGACATATTATATGTTTAAATTTTTGTGTATTTCTTGATTTATTTAGTAAGGTGGGGTTATGTTATTTTTTTATGATTTCATGTGTTTATTAAATTGTTGCTTTTGTGTATCTGTTCTTTCACTGGCTCTGATTTAATAGGTATCTAGGTTCTCTAACTTGTCTCAGCTCCCTATCTAGTTTCTTCACCTCAAAGCCCCAAAACAATATTAACATATTTCTTTATTCTTTTTCCAAACAAATAAATTCCTCCTCCCAAGCCTTTAAATTTCCCATACTGAGCTCCCTCACAGTCATTCCTATCTTCTCTAGTATTAACTCTCAATCTTTCCCATCCTATGCCTTTGGCTCATCCACCATATCTTACTTCACTACCCCACAGCTTTCCTCAGTCATAAAGTAAATCTCCTTTCTCCCGTATCTCACCCTTGGCCCCACAAAATTCTTCTGAAAACTCTCAATACTAACCCTTCAACTCAACTAAAAATACTCCAATAGAATCAGACCCTATATCAACCTTTTCTTCTTATCTACCACTCTTCTCCCCTTTAAACCTCTCCCTTACCCTAACACTTGTCATCCAACCACCTCCTTTCTCATCACCCCACCTCACCTACCTCACTGCAGAACAACCACAAATAAATAGGCTGTCATAGTGTGCACAGAGGACAAAGGGAGGAAGTGTAACTGCAAGGACTTTCATATAGAAGTGTTGTAAGATTGAATCTGCTGATGGTGTTATAACCAGAAATAATTCTTTCAGAAAAATATAGGAACAGAGTCCAAACCATTTAAAGTAAATAACAGAAAGACTAAACACTAGCACTTCACATACAAAGCTGAAAATTATTCATGGGGAGAAAACATCAGACTAAAAATCTCCATATAATCCATAAACTTTCACTTCTCTAGTCCTCAACCTGCACTACCCCTCTAAAAAAAAGGGAAATAAGGTACACACACACACACACACACACACACACACACACACACAAAACCAGCTACACATAAGAGCATGGGAAAGCAAAAAAACAGAAGATCGCTGAATTCTCCCAACATCCCAAGACAGAGCAAAGGGTGACAAAGGGAGAAGAAAACAAATACCAGTTAGCAGAAATCTATGAAAAGTTCATAGAAAGGATGAAGAAAATAGATGAGTTCAAAGAGGAAAAGAACCAAAAGTTCACAACAATTTCATTCAATATGTCCACAGTGGATCCAGGGAATAGGTAAAAAGCTGTATGAACTAACCAAAACAGTTCAAAATTTGAATGATAGATTCAACAAGGATTTGAATCCTCAAAAAGATGTCTGACAGAAACACCTGAAATAAAAACCTGTATAGAATTCATAAATTGCATAAGTGAATTATGATAAAGAACTCAAAGAAGCCAAAGAGAAAATAAGAGAGCAGGAGATTATCCAGAAGCTAGTAAATGAAAATGAGAAGACCAATCTAAGGCTAATTGGAGTTACAGAAAAAACTAGAAGATAGCACAGATGGACTTGCTGACATGTTTACAGAAATCATAGAAGGAAATTTCTCAAATATAAGAAAAGTCTAAAATACAAGTAACACTTACAGAACACCAAACAAATATGACCCCCCGCAAAAAAGAAGCTCACTAAGGCATATCTTTATTAAATTATCAGATATCCAACAAAAAACAGAATTTTAAAAGTAGCCAGAGCAAAACAAAAAAAATCACATATAAAGATAAATCAATTAAAATCACTGACTTTTCAACATATATCCTATAGCCCAGAAAAGCTTGGAGTGAAGTATTTCAAGCCCTAAGAACAAATAATGTCCAGCTCAAATTAACTTACTCAGCAAACTACTCTTCAAGATAGATGGAGAAATAAGGTACTTCCATAAAAAAATACCAGCTCAGAAGATAACATGAGTGCTAAACCAGCTCCGGAGAAAATACTCAAGAATATTAACAGAAACAATGAATCACAGTTTTTTAAAACCACAGAGGAAACAACTGAGGTCAATGTATAAACAGCAACAACAACAAAAAACAAAAAAAAAAAGGAAAAGAAAAAACAAAGGATTCATCAACAGAAGACAATAATAGTAAACAACCAACGCATCTCAGTAACATCTCAACATTAACAGCCTCAATTCTCCAATTAAAAGACACAGACTGGCAGACTACATAAAAAACCAGAATCTTGCCAGGGATGTAGCTCAGTGGCACCATGCCTGCCTGGCAAGCGCATCGTCCTGAGTTTGATCCCTGGTACCAAAAATAAAAATAAAAATAAAATAAAAACAAAAAACAGACCCTAACAGTCTGTGGCTTTCAAGAAACTCACCTAATCCAAAAAGGTATTCATAGACTAAAAATTAAAGGATGGAAAACAACATTTCATGTACCAGGACCCCCAAAACAAGCAGGGGTAGCAATTCTAAAACCACACACAGTAAACTTCAAG